AGAAGAAGTCGTTTGAAGTTTTTGACATATTTGACCCCTGTGACCTTGAAAACAGGTCAAGGTCATTTTCGTTCTCAAACTTTGTAGGGCTCCTACCAACGAAGCTTTCAGCCAAATATCATGACTCTAGGCCTGTCCGTTCTTCAGAAGAAGTTGTTTAAAGGAAAAGTTGACGGACGAGGACGGACGGACGACGCGCCACGGCATAAGCTCACTTGAACTAACAATGAAGGTGTGATAAAATGTTTTGTTATTTTCAAAAAAGTCATTGATCTTGCCAAAAGACAAAACATAATATGCCGTAAAGCCAAGACCCCGCAAAATTATTAAATTTCCACATAAATTTTCGTTCGCGCGTTATCACCCCCCATAGAATTTCCCAATGGGGGTCATGACCCCCATTGGGAGATTCAAAGGTTAGCAGGTCTGCCTAATAGGAAAATATGGATGGCTATACACTATCTAAGTTAACAACTAACCAGGCTATTAGCCAGCCACCCGCCTGCCCGTCTTTTGGACAGGCAGTTTTCATAAAAGGCCCATTTAGACGGGCTACTTCTCACTATATATCCTTACTATTTAATTTTGGACAGGCAATATTGTCAAAATTTGCTAAATATCAGCTTTTTGGACAGGTAGGTTTAAAATCCTGGCTTAAGGCCTGCAACTAACACATTATTTTGTGTTTGTGGGGAAACTCATGTCATGCGATTCACACAATAGTATTGCAATGATTAAAGTGCTATAATCATAATAAATATTGCAATAGTTTTTGGTTGAACAAGTTTGATGCGTTTCTTATGTTTCGTTTTGCTCTACAGAGCTTGCATCCTAGTATTTGATGCAGATTTACTTTTGTGTCTTCTGATTCTATACAAAGTAATTTATAAGCATGACCAAACATTGCAGCCTTTGTCCCTGTATTTCAGGGAAGATTAAACCTGTGATGTCTTCTGAGAATGAAGAAATTGTCACTAACAAGTTAATAATACTACAAATAACGATGTATTGTTATCATGGCGCAATATCTATTCCAAAGCATCAACAATAGTGCAGTAAATTGATCCACTGCTGATACATAAGCAATCAAGCATGTATTCTTTAATTCTGCATTTCTGGTGTCAAAGTTTTATTGCTTTAAGGGGACGTCAACCGACAATCACAGGTGCTGGACAAACCTACACGCTTGTACACAAGTTAACACATGGACATCAAATATATCCCTACGATATCATTCTGTCTTGACTGATCAATTGAATGACCATGGCAAAAGAACGTTTATTCATTGTAGCTTAATTTTACCAGTTGCTGTCCATAGACAAAATCTTTTCCTCCTTCAGCACCATCGACATAAAATTCTTTGAGGAAGGTCTTGATCTTTTCTGCAATCAAAACAATACACACAAGATTGGAAACAAATATAATACAGTACAAATCTGATCTCACACATAAATTTTCATAATAATTTATCTTGCGATTTCATCTCAACATGGTCATTTGGAACCAGCTGTCTTTCCATGCCGACGCTTTTTGTTTTACAAGTCCTTTATTAAAAAGGTGATGATCTATATTTGCCTTGATAACTTACCTTTATCGGCTTCATAATCCCGGGGTGGCATGTTCTTACTTATTTGTTTTTATCTTCAGAAAACTGTCTACGTTTGATGCGGTATGATCCCCTTTCTCTCCTATGTTTACAAAGCCCACCAAAAACCGCGCGAAATTTCTGTCCACGTGAGCAATAACAGGAAGTATTGAAAAAGTAAAAATTGAGCCGGGGTAAAATTCATGCGCCGGAACTAATTTTCATACCTTTTTCTATAACATATTAGTTCTAAATCATTTCTACTTATGGTTTACGTAGGATATATTGGCTGCAACTAAGTTTAATTATTTTTCTCTTCACGACTCAAAACAGATTTGAAAATTTGATGGAGAGCACCTGTTTTCCGGATTTACAGTCACAAATGCTTTATCGTTTAGACTACCCAGATTGTATTTTATAACTTTCATGTGAAGTTACATATTTTGGTACCATAAATAAAAAGAACTGTTATGTTGTAAACAATAATTAAATGATTATGTTATTTTTATTGTTGTCTTTATATGGACCTTCACGGTAACTTTGACCGGAAAATTCTTTTCTCATTGCGCATGCCTGACCCCATTGACCCTAATATGGCGAAAAACAGAAATGGTGAGGCATATGTCACGTAAAAGAGAAAGTACTTCAGAACAATGTTGTAAATTATCTGATGGATTCATGATTCTCTTTTGTTTTGTAGCATAAATTAAAGAGTTCACAGAAGGACAAAGTAAGGCAGTTCATAGCCTTTACGCAGACGGGAGAGAAGTCAGCGATCACTTGTCTCTCCGCTTTCGATTGGAAACTGGATGTAGCAGTTGACAACTTTTTCCAAACCCCAGACCGTTACAGTTGTGATTCCAGAGTAACGGTGGACAGAAAGAGACTGGAACAACTATGGGGAAGATACAAGGGTAAATTTGATCTACATGGAAACTGGATGTATAACAAATATCGGTGGTATACTGAGTACTAGATTTCGTGTTTTTATTGTTGTCAGTGCTGTGCTATGTGCTAAATATATTGCACAATTTCCACAGAGTTGTGCGTAATGTCATTTATTTGTGCCTGGTTATCATATACTTGTTTTTCTTCATTAAAATTGACGACTTTTAAAAAGAAAAATCTGTACATTGATAATATTTTAGCAACTGAAGGTGGTTTACTATTGTCTGAAGTTTAAATTATATACATGTACAGTAATCAGTATATTGACTGAGACATTGTGTCGAGTAAAGGTTGATGGCAAAGACCACAGCTCCTGGACACACTTATATGATGTGTATATACTCAACATGTATAACACTAGTATATTATGTATTATATTAGTTTGTCCAGAACATACATGTGGCTAAGACCAAATTAAAACAACATGTGTAAGGTCATAATTAAGTTGAAAAAGTCGAACAATAATTTCTATTCTATTTTAACCTTTTTTTAACTGTTCAAAGATGTGTGTTTACACACACGCCTGTGAATGGTTAAAAGGTAAAAAAAAATACAGTGACCTTGAAGTTCTAAGTTTAACACTTTTGTTATGACAAAAAGTGGAATAACACACGTGTATATAACTGTCTCCCAGTCAAATCATATCATTGAGTAACCAGTTTCTGAGCCTTTAAGACATATTGTCGAATTGATGAGTGTGAGCAAAATTAAACGGCATAGTGCATCATGCTTTGTATCAACAATGTTTAGTCTTAAATTTTACCTGGACAGTCATTTTGAAATCACTAATTTGCAATGATGACTAGTCTCATCCTTTGGTCATCATTGAACAGTTTCTGTTTTGTCTTTTCATAGCTCACATAATATTTACTGTGATCAGAGACGTATAATACAGAGATTGGCAACTTGCTCTTGGCCTTACTATTGGTCACTGGTATCGAGAGTTACGCTTCACCTGCGCCATATTGGATATGCGGTTCGCTGCATTCAACTCAAATCATAATAATGCCATGAGAAAACATCGCAAATCAACGTAACATTAAAACCGTACGTAGCTACAAAATGTAGCTGAGATTTCCATGCGGTTTGGGAGTGCTACATTGAATGTAAACTTGAATGATTAAGATTGCACATCGTGGCTGTGTTTACATATCGGTAATTATTCTGGCTTCAGGATAACACTATCTCCGTTTTTGTTCTTTAGACAATTTCAAAAAAGTTTTCAGAAATTAATTATATGATAATATTTCTATCCAGGAAATTAAATGAGGTTGTTACAATACTTGCAAAGTTTCATAATTCAGCTGTGAAAAGACAGGTTTTTCTGAGAAATCAAGTTAAAATGGCGGCTCTGATTTTGAGGGTTATTTCTATCATGACAAATTTTGAACACTATCTCCGTTTTTTTTCTTTAGACAATTTCAAAAAAGTTTTCAGAAATTAGTTATATGATAATATTTCTAACCAGGAAATTAAAATGAGGTTGTTACAATACCTGCAAAGTTTGATAATTGAGCTCTGAAAATACACTTTAAAATAACCATGTGAAAATGGCGGCTGTGATGTGCGAGAGTTAATTCCTTTCATGACACCGGCACTCCTTTCTCGTTCATCTTTTTATTTCAAAAACGTATTCAGATATAACATTATATTTCTAACCAGCTTCTTTATATGATCCATATATCTAGGATAAGTGACATGTTGACACGAACTAACGAATACACGATCGAACTCTCACACAGGTAACTCACTGACCAGACTATCGTCACCAGGTCGATAAGCTGTCAAAACAAACACTCGTAGATCATGCGTGATTTTGCGAGATCAGCGAGAGTTGCCAATCTCTGTATTATACGTCTCTGCTGTGATACTGTATTATTTATTGTCCAAACGTCCAAAAGTGTAGAAGTGCACTAGAAAAAGAAATAAGAACAGCGTTTGTATCCTCTATATTTTTGAATGATAGCCAAACATTTACTTAATTTATTAATATAAGAATAAGAGGAAATTCATTAAAAAAAACAATTGTGCTACCTAAATTTGCTCTGGATTCCCTTCCCACCAGAGGGCATACCTTGGGATGGGGTCAAATGAGGAAATTAGGTCGTAACTTGGAAACAGTAGAGCTCACCACTCTATAATCACCCGTTAATCATACATGCTACCAGGATTTGGCCTTCTGTTGGTCCCCATTTCAGGGAACTTAACCCCACAGTCATACCATGGAAATGGATGTACTCCCCACCCTACAATCACATATATACAATTGATTGCCATGAAGAGATGAATGCACATTTGTCTTTAGCCCTGCCCCTGGAAACTTTATTTTAACATGAAAACTGTTGAAACTTTTACCTTATCACATACATGCCAGAATCCTTGGAGACTTATCTGTGAGTTTTACAATCATTTTTAGGGAATTGAGGTTAAAATAAAGGAGGTTTTATTCGCGTTTTTCACGGCAAAAAGACTATCTTACTCAACTAAATTAATGAAATAAAGCACAAAATCTTTAAGTAAGGAACTTTGACTTTGGCAAGGTTTTTTTGTATGAATATGATTATATTTATTTAATAGCACAAAGTTTACAATACAAAATATCACATAGTTGAGATATACTGAAGAAGCAGATTTTACTTTAAATTTCGTAATTTAGTTGGACAGGTCACTATTCGCAGCAACGACATTGACTACTGATGTTCAGTTTAAACTTTGAACTTGGGTTTGTAAAAATAAGGATAATAGTTGTCTATGTTCTTTTACATTTGAACTTCTTGATAATGTAACAAAATGTTGAAACATGCATTTAACAAGACGACAGAAATAATCAGCTGTGAAAGTGAAGAAAACTGTGTTCAGTATTTGAACTTTTAAATTACATTTTCCATCTTCTTCATGACATGCCCCATATATATATTTACCAGTCGTTCTCTTTCCTTTTGTAGTGAAATTATATTTGTAAAGAAACACTTAGCCGGACATCATATTTATTAGCTCACCTGGCACAAAGTGCCAAGTGAGCTAATGCCGTGGTGCGGCGTCCGTCGTCCGTCCGTCGTCCGGCGTCAATATTTTACTTTAAACGACTTCTTCTTAATAACCGAAAGGCCTAGGGTGATGATATTTGGCGAGAAGCAAACTGGGATGAAGGGCTACCAAGTTTGTTCAAATAAATGACTTTCATCTATTTTCAAGGTCACAGAGGTCAAATATGTTAAAAACTTTAAACAACTTCTTCTCAATAACCAAACTGCCCAGGGAGATGATATTTTGTCAGTAGCATGCTAAGATGAAGGGCTACAAAGTTTGTTCAAACGAATGACCTTCTCCCATATTCAAGGTCACAGGGGTCAAATTTGTTTAAAATCTTTAAACAACCTCTTATGAATAACCATGGGTCCCAGGATGTTTATACTTTGCAAGTTGCATCCTGAGATGAAAGGTTTTACAATGTGTTCAACATAATGACTTTGTTCGACGTTCAATCACAGGGGTGAAATGTTTAAAAAAAAAAATAACAGGGTCTTTTGAACGAATTTTAATCATAAATACTGATATTTTGCCTGTAGCTTTATTTTAGATCACTTTTAAGGTTACAAGTGTGAGATTTATACCAGGTGAGCGATGCAGGCCCATTGGGCCTCTTGTTAAAGTTTCTAGCAATGAACTAACCTTACAAACATGACAGAAAACATGTTTTATGCTAATTCTACTGACAGTGTGAGGTATCAACTTCACAGGAAATTTTGATACTGAACCAGACACTGCGCGTAGTGGTTAAGACTAAGAATGTCAGGCATTCTGTAGTATCACGGAAATTAATGGCAACAATAAGAGAGGATCAAACTAATTCTATAATATGAATTATAGACACACCTAGTCCGAAGGACCAAGCTGAGCTTATGCCATACCATGGCGTCCGTCGTCCGTACGTCAACAATTTCTTTAAACGACTTCTTCTTCTTAACCACTGGTTAGAATTAAACTAAATTTGACTGGAAGTATCCCTAGGTGGTGGGGATTCAAATTTGTACAAATGGTGGGGCTGACCTCCCAGGGGGCTGAGGGGCGGGGCCAAAAGGGGTCAATTTGGCCATATTGCTTTAAGCGACTTCTTCTCTGGAACCAAGAAGTGGATATCAACCATTTTTGACTGGAAGCATCCCTAGGTGGTGGTGATTAAAAATTGTACAAATGGTGAGGCTGACTCCCTAGGGGGCTTAGGGGCGGGGCCAAAAGGGGGCAATTTGGCTATATTGCTTCAAACGACTTCTTCTGAAGAACTGTGCACTGGATATCAATCATATTTAATCAAAAGCATTCCTGGGAGGCAGGGATTTAAAATTGTACAAATGGTGTGGCTGACCTCCCAGGGGGCTGAGGGGCAGGGCCAAAAAGGGTATTTGGCTATACTGCTTTGAGCGACTTCTTCTCTGGAACTAAGTGATGGATATCAACCTTATTTGACTGGAAGCATCTCTAGGTGGTGGAGATTCAAAATTGACAAATGGTTGGGCTGACCCCCCAGGGAGCTGAGGGGCGGGGCCAAAAGGGGTCAATTTGGTTATATTGCTATAAACGACTTCTTCTGCAGAATTATGCCATTTATATTGATCATATTTGGTCGGAAGTATTCATGGGAGGCAGGGATTCAAAATTGTACAAATGGTGGGGCTGACCCCACGGGCTATGGGGTGGGGCCAATAAAATGTATTACTTGGAAATGGTTGAGATCCCCACCATATAACCATATATACAAATGCTGAGTATAAAGAGAAGAATGCACATTTGCTTCCAGGATGTCCCTAGGGTCTGGCCCCACCCTTGGAGACATAGTCCCTGGGCCATAACTTGAAAACAGTTGAGATCCCCACCACAAAACTATATATACAAATGCTGGGCATAAAGAGACGAATGCAATCATGATATCAGAATAGACCCTGGGGTCTGCCCCACCCTTGCAGACTTGGCCCCTGGGTCATAACTATGAAACGGTTGAGATCCCCACCCAAAAACTAAATATACAAATGCTGGGCAAAAAAGAGACAAATGCAGTCACGATATTAGAATCGATCCTGGGGTCGGGCCACAACTCTAGGGACCTAGTTACTGAGCCAAAGCTTGGAAACAGTTGAGATCCCCACCCCATAACCATACATAAAATTGCTGGGCATGAAAAATATAATATAGCTATGTTACAAGGATTGGCCTTGGGGTCTGTCATATTCCCTTGATCTCATTTGGAGAATATTTTGCCATGATTGCTTAGGTATCCAGGTGAGCGATACAGGCCCTCTGGGCCTCTTGTTTCAATTGTTCAAATAGATTACTTATTGTAAAAGACACCTCAATCAACTCACAATTTCAACCCGGCCATTTCAACCAGCTAAATTTTCCGGAAGTTATCGAAAAAACTCTTTGATCACATAATCAATAACATGACCGCTACTCGAGAGCTCTCGTGATTTATCGCTGAAAACATTGTGGAATCTCGTAAGACTTTGAGGAAACAACAACAGGAAAATGGTTCAACGATCGATCATTAAAAAACGTGAAGTTTTGAGGATTTTCTGTAAATTCATGTCCCATGCCGTGAGATTTTATCAGAGGTGAAAATCTGTGAGATTTTGCCTCACGCCGTAAGATCTGGCATGTATGGTATCATTGCCGTTTAAGTACAAACATGCTACCAAAATTAGCTGAGGGGTATTGCTCTGCTCTTGGTGACTAAGTCCCAGGAATGTAACATGGAAACAGTTGAGATCCCTACCTCATATCCATATACATTTACATAATACAGTTGCTAGGTAAGACACCAACACAAGCATGCTTCCAGGATTAATCCGAAAGTGCCCTGTCCTGGAGAATTAGTTCCTGGGACACAACATAGAAACAGTTTAACCCCCCTTTAATCCCATAACACATGTATAAGTGTATATATAGGAGGAAATGATAGTATGGAGAAATTTATGTAAACTAGCATACACAGTACATGGGGCACGAAAAAAAATGTTATATCAAAAGTGAAATTAGTTTTTAGGTCACCTGAGCTTTAGCTCAAGTGACCTATTGCTATCCGTTTTCGTCCGTCGTCGTCCGTCGTCCGTTAACATTTTACATTTCAAACTTAAAGTCAAGTTCTGCTGGGCCGATTGAACTGAAAGTTGGTAGGAATGATCGCCTCATGGTCCTGACAAAGTGTTGTTATTTTTCGGGTCGATCAGAAATCCAATATGGCCGCCACGGCCGCCATTTTGAAAACCTATTTCAAACTTAAAGTCAAGTTCTGCTGGGCCGATTGAACTGAAAGTTTGTAGGAATGATCGACTCATGGTCCTGACAAAGTGTTGTTATTTTTCGGGTCGATCAGAAATCCAATATGGCCGCCACGGCCGCCATTTTGAAAATAGCTATTTCAAACTTAAAGTCAAGTTCTGCTGGGCCGATTGAACTGAAAGTTGGTAGGAATGATCGACTCATGGTCCTGACAAAGTGTTGTTATTTTTCAGGTCAATCAGAAATCCAATATGGCCACCACAGCCGCTATTTTGTAAATACCTATTCTAAACTTAAAAACAATTTCTAATAGGCCGATCTTATTTAAAATCGGTCTAGGAATGATCAGCTCATGGTCCTGACAAAGTTAAGTTAACATTATACTTAACTATTTTTTACTCAAATTGGTACATATTTCAACAACAAAAATAAATACTGTAGGACTCAGGTGACCGTTAAGGCCCATGGGCCTCTTGTTATATGGTGACGGTGACTATATCTGCACTAGAATTAGTGGAAATTCTATGAAATCCATCATTATTTTAGATTGGTTTCACTGCATTATGAAATGTCATTTTACAATTTTGTTTCTTTCTAGATCAAAATGAAGATGACAAAATGACAGTAGATGGTGTAATGAAATTCCTGGAAGATCTCAATCTTAGTCCAGAGTCAAGAACAGTCCTCCTCATTGCATGGAAGTTCAAGGCAGCTACTCAATGTGAATTCACTAAAGAGGAGTTTATCACAGGAATGGCTGATCTCGGGTAAATCTGCCATTGATCCATTATATATAGGACTAAGCAATTACAATAGCCTGATAGTCTGAGACGAGTGAAATCTCCACCTGAACTAGTGGTCCTAAAAATTGCCAGCCCATAAGACTAGGCAATTCTATATACAATTGGAAACTACTATCCCAATCGATTATATAGCTAGTGGTGTTAATGATTAATTTCTAGCCCTGCACTTCTGCTGGTGGTAAAATGTGACTGGCTATGATGAGTGTTATAGTACATGGCCTAAGTGGATGTTAAACGCTATTTTACTTTATAAATCATTGTATGTTGTGGGGACGTAAAACTTCTGACAAATTTAATACCAGTAAAAACTTCAATGCATGTATCAGGTATAAAATGTGTCACTTAATGATCAGATATTGCAGGGTCAATATGTGGTCATGACCAGATATCAGGTTGACATCTCAGTAGTTATAAGTCCCATGGGAAATAGGGCTGGAATGGGTTACAGGTACTATCCAGTTAGCAAATTTATGTATCAAAAAAACGTCCCAAAATGTAGGTGAATATTTAATGAATTTCCCGATCAGAAATGTCACTCCTCACTGCTGTTTGACAGACCTCGAAAACACTCCTGATCAGTATACTTGCTTATACCATTGAGTTCATGTAAGCGATAAACTTTGAATGTAAACATAATATCGACTAACATTCGGAAGTGATGCACAGAAATACGAGCGCATAGCGTTGACAACACATGAGTGTGAAGTGAAACTACGATAATTTCTGTGTCAGGAGGCTAGCTATATATGTAGCCAATTTATAAAGATTTCGAGAATTTGCAACGTTTTACAACTAATTACAACGAATAAGTATTGAGCTATCTTTGTGTACATGCATTTACTTAATTAAGGATCACCGTCCCTCCACCTAAAAAATTTAATGAGGCAATGTGTTGTTTTTTCTACAGCATCGCTATTGCGTAAGCAAATCATTCCTGAACAATAACCCATTCCTTGCGGAAGTTTCTTCAGATATTTTTGGGATATAATGGAAATTTAGATATTTCATTTTTTTTTTTTTTTTTCAATTGAACAAAATGAAACAAAATATATATTATTTGATGCAACAATGGTTTATTAGAAACATAACACATACAAAATAATAACAATGTCAATATTGATGAACAAAACATTTTTTTTTTAGTAATTTTCTAACAATATTAAAACAAACAATAATGCCTGTTACATGAATCAATAAAATTCCGAGTGTCGATGCAACACGTTTAGGACAATGAAAAATAAATATCTTGCGGACTTACTTATTCTACAAAAAAAATATAAAGATACAAAAAAAAATTAACAAAACTGAGTGACAACTCTTACATTTGTACCAACAATAATTCTAATTCCCAAAAAGTCATATATACAATTTACAACATACAATATAGCACTTTTTGTATACAAATATAATACAGTAGGCATAACCAACCAATAAAATTAGTTCAAATGTAATTACCAATATAAAACAAATTGTACTTTGTGTATGGATAACATTATAACAAACAATGTACTTTACTGTGTCATAGCAAAAATGTCACAAAGAACAACAGTGACAAAGTTCCACATACTTTACACAACAATAATACATTTCTACATACTGTACAAATAACATACTTTGTTGTGATATAAAAAATCACACTAAACAACAATAATAAACATTTACATTCTGAACAAAACAATAATAAACTTTCACATTATGTACAGATAACAACATACCATAGTTCGATATAAAACATATCACACTATTTAGCAATAATAAACTTTGACATTATGTACAGATAACAACATACCATAGTGTGATATTTTTATATAAAAAATATCACACTATATAGAGGATAGTAATAACAAATATATTTCACGAGTGTGGCTAATATATTGATATTTTTTCACGAATATGCAGCACAAGTGAAAATATCAAAATATTATCAACACAAGTGATAGCGCGGATCTGATGCCGATTTTATAGTGCTATCTCACTGAAGTACACATGATGACCAGCTCTGCTGGGTATGCTTCCTCTTTAACAAAATGATGACCTTTTATCTTGTCTTGCAGATGTGATAGTGTAGAAAAACTTAAAAACAAATGTCCAGGGCTGGAGCAGGAAATACGAGATCAGAACAAGTTTAAAGACTTCTACCAGTTTACATTTAATTATGCCAAAAATCCAGGACAAAAGGGTCTAGGTATGTATTTGTTGTAGCCATTGTTTGTTTGGCCTCTGATTTATCAAAATGCATTACAGTATATGAGAAATTTTACAAAAAGTTTCATATTGTTTTTGTAAGGGCTATCCCATAACTTATTGTATGTGGGGAGGCACCTGTATTAATACATTATGGGTGATGGGTTTTCAAATCAGATCTGCCTACCATTCCTTATAGTAAATCACTTGGGATGGTGGGATCTGTGAAACAGTACCGCCTGCCAATCCCATATGGTTATTTCTGGAACAGATGCAAGAAAGTTTCAAATTTTAATGAGGGATATTTCCTAGTTAATTTATGAAAATCAGGCATACAACATCCTTACGAGACCTCTGACATAGCATTTTCATGTTCACAGTGTATTGTTTGTACCAACATAAGTAAATCTGCCAGAAAATTGTATTTATTAGCTCACTTGGCACAAAGTGCCAAGTGAGCTTATGCCGTGGCGGGGCGTCCGTCCGTCCGGCGTCCGGCGTCAATATTTTACTTTAAACGACTTCTTCTTAATAACCGAAAGGCCTAGGGTGTCGATATTTGGCCAGAAGCAAACTGGGATGAAGGGCTACAAAGCATGTTAAAATTAATGACCTTGATCCATTTTCAAGGTCACAGAGGTCAAATATGTTAAAACATTTAAACATCTTCTTCTCGATAACCAAACTGCCCAGGGAGATGATATTTGTCCAGTAGCATGCTTGGGTGAAGGGCTACCAAGTTTGTTCAAATGACTGACCTTCAATTATATGCAAGGTCACAGGGGTCACCAACATTTCAAACAACTTCTTCTAAAGAACCTTGGCCAGTAGCATGCTTGGGTGAAGGGCTACCAAGTTTGTTTAAATGTATGACCTTGAATCATATTCAAGGTCACAGGGGTCAAATATGTTAAAATTTTAAACAACTTCTTCAGAATAACCAAAATGCCCAGAGTGATGATATTTGGCCAGTAGCATGCTAGGTTAAAGGGCTATCAAGTTTGTTCAAATGAATGACCTGCACCTATATTCAAAGTCACAGGGGTCTAATATGTGAAAAACATTAAACAACTTTTGAATAACTCAAATGCACAGGGTGATGATATTTGGCCAGTAGCATGCTGAGATGAAGGGCTACAAAGTTTGTTCAAATGAATGACCTTCACCCATATTCAAGGTCACAGGGGTCAAATATGTTAAAAACTTTAAACAACTTCTTCTGAATAACCAAAATGCCCAGGGTGATGATATTCAGTCAGTAGCATACTAGGATCAAGGGCTACCAAGTTTGTTTAAATGTATGACCTTGAATCATATTCAAGGTCACAAGGAGCAAATATGTTCAAAATATTTAAACAACTTGTTCTGAATAACCAAAAGACTCAAGATGTTGATATTTAATCAGTAGCATGCTGGGATCAAGGACTACTATGTTTGTTAAAGTGATTGACTTTGACTTATATTCAAGGTCACAGGGGTCAAATTTGTAAAATCTTTAATCGACCTCTTCTGAATAACCATGGGTCCCAGGATGTTGATACTTTGCAAGTTGCATCCTGAGATGAAAGGCTATAAAATTTGTTCAACATAATAACTTTGTTCAACTTTCAATCACAGGGGTGAAATGTTTAAAAAAAAAAATGGGACTTTTGAATGAATTTTAATCATAAATTCTGATATTTTGCCTGTAGTTTTATCTTAGATCACTTTTAAGGTTACAAGTGTGAGATTTATACCAGGTGAGCGATGCAGGCCCATTGGACCTCTTGTTATCAATTGCAATTTACCAGAGAATGTGAAGCAAATTTTTTCTTTTTCAGATTTGGAAATGGCTATAGCATATTGGAATATAGTTTTATCAGGAAGATTTAAATTCTTAAAACTATGGAGTGACTTTTTGACGGTAAGTTAATTATCTCCCTGTACATGTTACATATGAATGAAGTTTGATTACACTAAGGTAAAGAGCCCTGGCACCACTCTATATATGTATAGCTATTGTACACAGGTCTTGAAAAGTATTTTTTCTGATTAATTTATGTTACCTGGTAGTTCATAATTTATGTTACCTGGTAGTTCATCTATCTATTCACACGAAGACATTTTCTTGTTTTAGGTCATTTCAAGAAGTTATAACATCATAAATTTGTTCCCAGTCATCTAGAAAAGTATAATTATAGGCTGTGGGCCTTTTTAGCTCACCTGCTCGAAGGGCAAGTGAGCTTATGTCATGGTGCGGCGTCCGTCGTCCGTCCGTCAACTTTTTCTTTAAACAAAGTTTGAGAACGAAAATGACCTTGACCTACTTTCAAGGTCACAGTAGTCAAATATGTGAAACACTTCAAACGACTTCTTCTGAATAACTAAAAGGTATAGAACCTTCATATTTAGCTGGTGGATTTCTAGGATAGACCCTGACAAAGTTTGGGAATGAAAAAGACCTTGACCTGCTTTCAAATTCACAGTGGTCAAAGTAAAGAATCTTCATATTTAGCTGGTGGCTTTCTAGGATAGAGCCCGACAAAGTTGGAAATGAAAATGACCTTGACCTACTTTTAAGGTCACAGTGGTCAAATATGTCAAACGTTTCAAACGACTTCTTCTGAAGGACTGAGGAGTATAAAATCTTCATATTTGCCTGGTTGCTTCCTTGGATAAAGCCAGACAAAATTTGTGAATGAAAATGACCTTGACTTACTTTCAGGGTCACAGGGGTCAAACATGTCAAAAACATCGAACGACTTCTTATAAATAATCGAAAGGCATAGAATCATAATATGTGGCTGGTGGCTTTTTGGGATAGAGATCACCAAAGTTTGCAAATGAAAATGACCACAACCTATGTTAAAGGTCACAGAGGTCACCAACATTTCAAACAACTTCTTCTAAAGAACCAAAAGGAACGGATTCATAAGATTTGGCTGGTAGCTTCTTGGGATAAAGCCAACAAAGTTTGAGGAGGTAAATGACCTTGACCTACTTACATGGTCACAGGTAAAAATATGTCAAATATTTTCTGAAGAAGAACTAAAAAGCATAGAATTATTAAAATAGTTGGTGAACTTCGACCCAGGGGCGCACTTTTTAATTAAATAGACTTTTTTTTGAAACAAATAAAACAAATCTTTTCACACATTTTGTTTTATTACATTATCTCTTGTCAAAATACTTATTAAAAATATTTTCTAAAATAAAACAAATTGCTTACCTATATATACCCTATTATTTCTGAGGATGATAGCGGAAACACAAGCAATTTCTTTTGGCCTAAGTAGGGTACACCGAATATTGAAATTTTCATAGTATGAGCACCCAATTTTCAGTTGTTATTGTACTTTAAATTGACTTTTGTGTTGTTAGGAACACCACAAGCGGTCGATCCCCAAGGACACGTGGAACCTCCTTCTGGATTTCTGTGCAATGATAAACGAGGACATGACAAACTACGATGAAGAAGGTATACAGCCTGTGTAACGAACTCTAGCAGTAACAGTCATAGAGATTCACACCAAGAAAAATACACATCTAAAACCTGAACAGATTGTTTATTGCTTTAAGGGCCCCTGTCCCTATGCACTGTTGTTTCCTATATACTGTATAACCTCCCCTTAACCTCCATTTGGATATAACTATATCACAATTTGGCCAGGACACTTTATAGTTTATCAACTAGCTCAATCGGTTAATTTGATAGTATAACAATCTGAAGTCCAGGGTTTGAATCCTGGTCTAGCCCCAATACATTGTTACACTCAGAACACTGTTGTTATTTATATTTGAATCCTGGTCTAGCCCCAATACATTTTTTTATGCCCGTCGAAGACGGGGACGTATTATGTTATCACGTGAGCGGGCGGGCGGGCG